CCTATTTAGTTAGGTGTCATAATTTTCAGAGGCGGTCAGAAATTTGGATGGTAAGCAACTTACCTATGGCCACAGCTAGTTAAGTAAGAGAGGAAACATCCAAAGTTATATCCAACTCATTGCAAAGTTGGTATTCACTGAATTCATTAAGGACTAGCTATTGAGATTTTAAAGTTTTTTTTTTTTTGTTTTTTTTTGGCAGTTTCTCTTGTCCTCAAATTACTTAATTTTCTTTCACTACATTTTTGGGTTCCCTGAGCCAATTTGAAGGTTTAACACCTGATATAATTCAAATAATTGGGGGCCATTGACTGGGAAAAGTTTAACATGGAATATACTAAGGGTCTCAAAACTTTAGCCTTGTTGTAAATAAATTTCAACACAGACTGTGTCAGAGCTGATGAGAAGATGGAAATGATTGTACTTGCTTCTCACGGCCTGTCTTGTCCTGCCGCCCTGAGCTGTCCTCCCTTTTCCCAGGTGCCACTTGCTCTCAATTCAAGGGACGGAGCTCTGGGCTCATGGCACTTGGTTATAGCAGCTTTGGTTTTCGTTTCTTTCATGGCAGGAGTGGACAGGGAGGGTTTGAGAGGGGAGCACAGTAGCTGCCTATGGTAAAGCACTAATTGTACTGCTAAGCATGACAAGGGGACATCTCTCATTCTTTCAATTGGGCGGTTTTAATACTTTCCCAGAAAGGGATGACGGAGCCATTTGCAGTGATTCAGCTAAGAAAAGGAGGAAGATCTGAGCGAAAGATTTTAGAAAAAAGCTTGCCATAAGCATATCAAAAATAAACTTTTATTTCAGTTAAATGTACAGTTCATAAATGAAAGAAGAACATTTATCCACAGGTCACCAGGCCTGGGTACGTTCCGACAGGTACCTTTGGAGTTCTGAAGCTCCTGAGCGTGACCATTGGGTTGCACGTATGGCACATTTTGGTATCAAGTGCAATTTTTAAAAGGGCACGATGGTTTCCCCAAGGCCAGTCATTACTGATAGGTTTAAAGAATTCTTTTCTCCCTAGGTAAATGGAGAAATACCGAGGACTCTGGGGGTGGATTCCATAATATCTAAAATCAAGCCCTGGAGTTACAGCACCATCACTCACTGACACAAGCAACCATTCTTCCTGTCTTCTTGGGTAAGTCTCTCTTTATGACAGTCCTAACACTTAAGGTTTGCTCTCTTACAGCTTGTTTCCCCCAATATTTTATACGCAGGAATGATGTCACATGCCTACAAACTCCTTTAGGGACTCTTTCTTTTCTACTTGGTTAATCCTCGCCTGAGGATATTTTTTCCCATTGATTTTTTTAGGGAGAGTGGTGGAGGGAGGGAAAGACAGAGAGAAACATCGATGTGAGAGAAAAAACCTGAGACCCTTTGGTCCACAGGCTGATGCTCTATCCACTGAGCCAAACTGGCTAGGACTTTCTTTTCTCCTTTGCAATCTAGTATTCTACTTCTGCTTCACATAGATGGCAAAGGAAAAGAATTTTGGAACTTGTGGTCTCTTACAGGCATGACAGGTAACCAGCCTGATGAAGAATGCTAGCCTCGTACGCTTGTACATGGCCGCAGTGGAAGCCAGCCATAAGGGCCCAGAGACACCCGAGGATGCTCTGCAGCATCCCAAGGTCAGCAGCCATGGGGACTCAGCAAACAATGTGACACCCAACTTCCCCTTGACACAGAACTTTCCCTTTTCCTGAGAGGAGACGGCGATAAGCACATAAGGTATGAAATCATATGTTATTTATAGCCTCAGCTTTGACATTGGAATAATACTTACCTACTTAGGGTGCTGTGAAGTTCAAATAAAACACAGGAGAGCATGTATATAGCCTGTTTGTAAGCACATGGCAAAACGTGGAGGGAGACTGCGACTATTGGCTTCCATGCCTCAGGCTGTAAAGTCAAAAGGCTGAGGCAGAACCAGCCCAACTGTTTCTGGGGCTTCAACCACGCAGTCCTTTAAGCCTTCTAACTACACAAAAGTGATATCACCCTTCCATTTCAGACTTCGGTCTCGTCGGACAGGCGTAGTGGAAAACACCTGGGAGAAGGTGTAATGCGGGTTACCCTCCATATTGATTCATTACCTGAATCTCTCACTGGCAAAGGTGCTTCTCAGTTTCTGGACTATGTCACAGTACACGCAGAGAGAGGCATATCGTTGAAAGTGATTTTTAGCAGTGACATTTGCCCTGCACCTGCTAAATGCCAGAGGCTGTCCTGAGCACTTTGTGTGCGTTCTCACTTAATCCTGACCATGTGCAGAAGGTAGTCCCATCATCTCTATTTAGAGAGAATATCAGTAACTTCCCCAAGGTACCACCTGTCAGTGCTGCCCATCTCCTCACTTTTCCCTTGAGCACAGTGAAGAAAACAGTCTATGATGTGCCACACAGACACCTGCAGAGCTGGCACCCCTCCCCTCAGCCTCAGGGAGCATAGATGGAAAGAGATTTATGGGGGACTGTCAGCCAGTAGAGCCAGTTTGTTCCTGTTTCTCTGATGAGCGAGCCTCAAAAACATGAAACAGATTCAGGAGATGATAGAGAGATGGACCAGGACTTAACCTGTTTCTCAATAGCTTATCTCTGAACCCCCAAATTTCAGACAGGCCCTCACTGCTAACTCACATTCAACTTTTCTTGTGTGAAGGTACACGGGCATGAGGAATGTGTAAAGAAAGTCGATGACCCTTCACATGAAGCTGAAAAGCTTCTGTGCTTGATTTGAGAGAAATGAGTCCAAAAAATGAACCATTGTTTAATCTTATTATACATTCCCCCTGTATTTGGAAATAAGACCCATTTGAAGACTTACTACTCTTATGTATTCCTAAACTACAGTGAGATCCATGATATGCCTAAAACGGGGACATACCATTCTCAGTTTTCCCAAAGAGTAAGGCTGAATACTTGATTATGTAACTGAAGGGCTCAAATTCAGTGTATACGATTTTTGTTTGTTCTGTGAGTTTTCCCCACCATTAAAAGCAAGACAATGATCCTAGTTCCCTTGGATACAAAATAATAAGCTGCTTTCCTAGGTAAGAATTCTAGGAAACCACTCCATTTAGACTACCTGATATAGGAGTACATCCCACCAGAATTTTTTGGTTGGGGGTGAAGATAGTTAAAACTTTATACTTTAAAGTCTCCCATTTCCAAGTGTGAATGGAAGAGTTAGTCCTTGAAATGACCTATAGTTTTTCTATTTAAAGCCTGTCTTCTTCTCCTCCTCCTCCTCCTCCTGCTCCTCCTTCTCCCCCTCCTTTGAGAAGGACTATCTGACTTGGATAAAAGGAACAGAAAAAGAGCCAAAGTGAAAGCCTTACTCCTCCTCCTCCTCCTCTTTACTTGTGTTCCTATCAAGAATAGAACACAAAGGCTTGAAAGTCATACCAAAGCTTTAAAATTGCTATAAGAATATTTTCCAGGAGCTGGTTGAATAGCTGGGATTATTTCTCTCTAAATAGCTTGCAAAGGCCACTTAAAAAATTTCCCAGGGCTTCAAACCTTGTATCTTCCTCTACTTGTTGGTATTTAGAGAAAGGAAGTCTTGGCCAATCGGATAGAAAACTTAACTAATTCCCTGTGCTGCTGCTTCTTCTACCTAAAATCTGCTTATCATACTAAATGTTTTAAAAATTGTCCCTAGAAGGAATCCATTCTATGCCAGCTGGACTGAGAAATTAGGAGATATTATAGATTCTTCATGGAATAACATTAGAACAGTGATTTTCAAACATTAGTTTACAACATCACCTGAAGGGCTTGTGGAAACACATATTCCTGGACCCCACCTCCAGAGCTTCTGACCTAGCATTTTTAACAAGTTCCCAGGTGATACAGATGCTAACCTTAAACTCTCTGAGAGTCACTACTTTAGATTGTTCAAGAATGGTACTATTTGTTCTTCTTCTTAGCTCTCTTCATGGTAGACTGGCTAGACTCATAAGGAAGAAAGTCCTTTCCCATACCTTAAAAGGCACTGGTCCTTGAACTATATATATGTAATTATAGAAGATGGAAAATGAATTTAATATGAAGAAGCTGAATTGATAGAGATCTTAGCATATGTTTCTAGATCAGGAAACAAATTAATGAGAAAAGAAAGTTCCCTCTAAGCAAGAGGAATTCCAGGTACATAGTACCCTAGTTGTTTTTTTTTTTTTTTTTTTTTTTTTTTTTTTAAACAAAATAAATTATTGCAGAGGAAATATTTAGTAGTACCTTGTCCTTTTCATGATGGTTATTTAAAAAAATTAGCAATATTATAGACTTAATTATACAACATCAAGAACTATAGCTCATGTATTTAGTTAGAACATTTGATACTATTTAGACTGTTTATAGTTTCTCCTAGAGAAATAGGCATCAACCATGGTTAAGCTGCTTAGTTTAATTTTTTTAGCACTTGGAAAAAAAATGTACAGTAGTTTGAACACTCAGTCTTTGTAAACCTCCATTGAGGTCAAAGATTTCATTCATAGGTACAAAATTAGTTTACAAATTTTTTGGCAATTTCATCTTAGTAACCCGTTTTATCCTATTGCCATTGTCCCAACCATTGAAAAAAGTGTACAATAATTTACATAGAAACATTTTCAAAGTGCTTAAGAATAGTGATTGTTCTCTGGGATATTTACAGGTGGCCTATACAATGTATGTACAGGTGGTATACACAAGTTTCTTTGCTGGAATATGGCTTTCTAGGGAAAGTGCATATTTGGCCAGAGGTGGCAATACTGTCTAGAAATTCAAGGGTTATAGGGAACCACATCCAAAGCTGAAGCAGAGTGTGGACAGGAATATTTATGAAAGTCATATAAAAACGGTCAAGTACACAAGCTTGATCCACGCAGATATCTTGATGTCCTTCCAGGCTGGAGGAAGAAAGAGACTTCCCCTGCTGACTCAGTTACCATTCCAAATTGGAGAGTTATTGGTTTAGATCTCAAAGGTTGAGACTTGTCTCCAAAATCAAGCTAGATCATCATCTGTGCTTACAATTGATATCTGTGGAAAGGAAAAAAATATGGAGTGAGCTTGATCACTCGTTGGTAGCCCTTCTAATTGCTAAAACGGACCTTGCTTTTGAGTCGGCCATTTAGAAATGAAAGGTGCACAGAAGGGAAGTCAGACTCAAAATAGTATTGAGTTGTGTCCCTAATGCTGTTTAACTTGAATTTAGCTGTGAATGCTTGGTAGAGAGAGAGGAAACAGTGTGACTAATTCTGCATCTTCTACTTAATGATCTTAAGTCCTGGAGAAAAATATGAAAAGACACACGTGTGCCATGAATTGGCTACCATTCTTTGTTTTACCAGAATGTTGGAGAGGGAGTGCTCAGCACTTGTTTTGTTCAGGCTGGTCCCTAAATGAAGGCCAAATACTCCATTTGGGTTTCAACTAAAGAACAAGTGACTGAGTGAAAAACTAGCTAGCTCTACTAGGTGGGACAGGACACTTCCAAGCATTTGGTAATTTGGTAAAAAAAAAAAAAAAAAAAAGAATCTTGCTCAACACATTGACTTTTAGCTAACTCTCCTATATATGATATGCTAATTTACTTATTTAACAGTTCACAAAGGAGTTACTTAGTTCATGTAAATATTTACATGTAGTTTCTATAACCAAAAATACCTCCAATAGTATAGTGATGACCTGAAGTTGTCATCCTGTATGGGGCAGGTGCTTATCTACTGTCTGAGTTATGTTCTAACAGGCTAGACTGTCTAATCTCTGGTAGATGAAGTATTTGGTGGTTCCATAATCCTACTGGCTCTTCCTAGCCCAGACAGTCATAGCTTGAGTTTGAAGTTTCCTTACCAAAAAGTCTTACTGCAAGCCATGGCATAAAAGGACACAAAGCTGACTTACTGCTGGGTACGTGTGTCCAACTGAAGCACTGTGTCTACCGATGTCTATAGACAGGTCCTCTTCAGTGGTCTTCAAGTACACAGGATTGTCAAAGTTCATGCTTTTCATGTTCTTGTGTTGCCAGTTCCGCCACATCAAGTAGCCACCTACGGCTGCCATGGCTAAGAGCACTGAAAAAAGTTAGAAGGCAACTAAGCAAGGTCTAGTCTCCAAACACAGGAAAAAAGATCATCTTCATGAGTCCATAAGCGATATTCCTAAAAGTTTCATGTTCTATGAAGCTGAGATAACTGGAAGTTAAAGTCTAAATGAGCAGGAGCTTAAAACAAGTTCAGATCAATGGTTAAGTTTTATTCCATAGTCTGGCAGACTGGGGAAACCGAGTGTCCAAGGTCCCTTCCTAGGCAGAATGAATTAAAATTGCAGAAGTGCCAAAACCGGTTTGGCTCAGTGGATAAAGCGTCGGCTCGCAGACTGAAAGGTCCTGGGTTCGATTCCGGTCAAGGGCATGTACCTTGGTTGCGGGCTCATTCCCAGTGGGGTGTGTGCAGGAGGCAGTTGATCGATGTTTCTAACTCTCGATATTTCTAACTCTCTATCCCTCTCTCTTTCTCTCTGTAAAAAAATCAATAAAATATAATAATAATAATAAAAAAAAATCTGCTGCAGCTTCTGGAGAACTCTTCAAAGGGGCCTCCTAGTGTGTTAGCTAAGCTTGCAACCCATTAATTTAGGATAAAGAGGCCATTATAACATAGTGCCTTAGCATTCACATACTCAATAGTAGCTTTAGAGGTTCATCTCCCTGGTTTTGAAAATTCTTCACTATTTTTAATTTATACCCTGTAAGTCTTATAATTCTTCAAGAAAGCATTTAAGCATAGTATCTCCTCTGTATGAAATACTATATATATATATATTTCAAGGAGAATTAGAACAGTTTTCTTTACTTAAAGGGACTTATTGTGAAAGGGGGTCAGCAATACTAACCATTCTAAAGTAGAAAGCTATAAGCACCCTTCATGTAATAGCTGAACACTTATCACTGCCACTCACTGTAGGAAGGATACCACTGAAGAGAAAGGCATGGACTCTCAACTCAGTGTGCCATGTTGGGGAGAGAGTAAAATGTAATTCAGTATCATGAGAGCTATGAAAATACAAGGGGCCATGGGAACTATGTCTCTAGATGAGCTATAAATGCCCATCTGGTAGCTAAGAAGTTCACAGGCTCCACATATATAAAGAATTGACTTACAGAGGGGAAGGATGGCCCAGGCAGCAGAAGTCCCTTTTGGGGGAACACTGACCTCCGATACTGCTGTGGTCATGTTGATCCCTATAGGCGGATGAAAAGAATCAGTTTAGAAGAATCTGAACTCAGACTTGGAAATGCACCCATCTAGTGGAGAGCCTCATACCCTTGCATCCATCAAGGATGCTCGGTATCTACTATGATTGTATTACCAGCAAAAACTAAACCAGAAGTATTCGAGAGTCACATGCTGTTATACCATTTCATTAACATTTCTCTAACACAAACCTTAATAAGTCAGGTCAGGCTAAGACTTAAAGCTCCTTAGTCTTTGAAGTTTAAAAGTAGGTTACCAATCGGGGCAGAGCTAGTAGTTAAAGGCTGTATTAATCATTTAAGTAATAGATACAAAGTGTGGCTGTTAGTTGAGATTAACAGTTTGCAATACTGAACCCAATACCTCCAGGAACTAGTCCACTAGTTGGTGACATTTCTGTTGTGTTGGTATCTTTTGTCTCACTGTAAGTCATAGTAGTTGCAATACCTGAATTACAAAAACCAAGAACCTGGTTAATGCCAAGGTTCCAGAGTGGCTAGTTGTTTAGTACAGATGAGCCCTGCCTAGGCTATTTTAATACCATGGGAAACAGACACATCACTGCTGAACTAAGTTGCATGGTGGATGCATCAAAACTGCGAGAAAGAGCAATCTTCAGACAAAACCAGACACATGAGACTTTAGGCAGAAGAGCAAACATTTGAAATTTGACAATTCAAAAAGACACACAGCCACACTTCATGACCCCTCTAAGCAATGTCCAGGCTCCAGAAAATTACAAAAAATGCCCGTGAGCCTGGCAGCGGAGGCTCTGTGGTTGAACCAGGAGGTCATTGTTCGATTCCCAGTCAGGACACATGCCTGGGTTGTGGGTTTGATACCCTAGTCGGGGGCATGCAGGAAGCAGCCAATCAATGATTCTCTTCCATCATTAATATTTCTCTCTCTATCTCCCTCTCCCTTCCTCTCTGAAATCAATAAAAATATATTTTAAAAAAAGAAAAAAAAAGAAATGCTCTTGAAAATAGATGACCAGGCATACCCAGATTGTCTGTCTTGCAACTACTTTCTCAGAAAACAGAGCTAGTCCCTGCAGGGACTCAGGATTAAGCTAATAAAAACCTCACAATACGAGCTCCTTGCTCACAACATGTGTGAGTTGAATTTGCCACTCAACCAAAAGCAAAGAACAGAAGACTAAAAATGTAAGTTTGAGTGTGAGTTTAAGATAGTGTCCTGCACTGGGGCTATGAGGTTTCCTGAAACCATAACCTTCTTTGTGCATAATTTCTGGCCTCTCTCTTCAGAGGAAATGTGAAGGCTTTGTTCTGTTATCTGCACGATGCCAAGCTCAGTATCGTCATGGGACTAATCAGCAAGAGGCCTGTGAATACTTTGACGAAAATGTCACTTATAGACTCATCTGATGTTGAAAGCAGTTAAAAGTCAGCTCTGAAGTAATGCCGTGAATACCTGGTAGGCAACAGTACCAGGCAGGTTCTCAAAGCCATTCCTAGAGTAAGTTAAAACGGAATTCTTCAAACCCAGGCTAGTTTTCATAGCTAGTGTCTTATTCTATGGCCTGCGGTATGTCTGGCTAGTGGATGAAAAGTAAAAAAGTCTTACTTTGGCACTCCCGGCCATTTGCCCGTAGGTTGTACCCGTTGGGACAGGAGCATGTGTATTTTGGGGAGTGGTCATTAATCTGTGGTGCTGGCAGACATAGGTATTCACATCCTCCATTCTCCATGTCTTCTTCACACCAATTTTTACCTGTTCAGACACAGAAATCCTTTAAAAGAAGTACGCCAGGGCCTGTTATACACATACAGTCCTGTTCTAAGTGCCAAAGACATGAATCCTTGGCCCCAAAGAGTTTAAACTTGTCTGCTCTGTCTAACCTTCAAGTTAAACCAATACCAATGAAGACTAAATATGAGTACAGACAAAACAGCACACCCTAAAGACACCAGAGATCCAAAGAAACTTATTGGAAAGCAGAACAAGAGTTATGCCTTGAACAGATGGATGGTGAGGGAGTAGGTGGAGAATGGAGGTGAGTGACCAGGACTGGCACTAATAACTGGTCCAAAGCTCATAGTGAAGGCTCAGAGAAAGAAGATGAACATGTTCTCCTGGCTTTATCATGCCTTGTTCCTACAAAGTGGAAGGCACTCAACTATATGGAAGTTTTAAGAGTTTCATTCATTCATTTTTATGCATTATAACATCCCTCCCCACATAAATACACAACATACACACATAGTTCACCTAATCAGCCTTCCTCTCTCAAGCTCCTGGTAACCACTAATCTGTTTATTATCTGTACTAGAGCCCCAGTGCATGAAATTAGTGCCCTCAGCCTGGCTTATGCCCTCTTGCAGTCCGGAAGCCCTTGAGGGATGTCCACCCCAGGCGGAAGCATGGCTTCTGGCTGAGTAGTGCTCCCCCTGTAGGAGTGCACTGATCACCAGGGGGCAGCTCCTGCATTCAGCATCTTCCCCCTGGTGGTCAGTGTGCATCATAGCGACCGGTCATTCGTTCTGCTATTCAGTCAGTTTGCATATTAGCCTTTTATTATATTATATAGGATAGTGTCATATAAATGTAGTTAACATAGTATCTATTCTTTTAAAACTCTCTTCTTTCATTTAACAATATTAAGAGTTATGAAGTGTACCTCATTATAGCTTAGTCATTGTATTTCCCTAATGACTAAAGGTTTTTGAACATCTTTTCATGTACTTACTGGACATGTAAAGCTTCTTTGGAGAAACGTCTATCCAAATAATTTATCCATCATTAATTTTTATATTATTCCCCCCCTCCCCATTTACCCCTTCTCTGCACTACTGTCTATACATGGATTATGTATATACAAATAAGTTTTTTGATTAATCTCCCCCCACCTCTTGCCTGCCAGCCTCCCCTTTCCCTCTGAGATTTGTCAGTCTGTTCCATGCTTCCATGTCTCTGGGTCTATTTTATTCATCATTTTATTTTGTTCATTAGATTCCATATTTAAGAGAGATCATGTGATACTTGTCTTTTTCTGACTGGCTTATTTTGTCTAGCATAATACTCTCCAGGTCTCTCCATACTACTTCGGATATTTGCTTTTTTATTTTTGAGTTATAAGAGTCCTTTATGTTTTATGGGTAATAGATTCTTTTTTTTTCTTTTTCTTTCATTTTTTTTTAATTTATTGATTTTTTACAGAGAGGTAGAGAGAGGGATAGAGAGTTAGAAACATCAGTGAGAGAGAGACATTGATCAGCTGCCTCTTGCACACCCCCTACTGGGGATGTGCCCATAACCAAGGTACATGCCCTTGACCTGAATCGAACCTGGGACCTTTCAGTCCCCAGGCCGACACACTATCCACTGAGCCAAACCGGTTTCGGCTGGGTAATAGATTCTTATTGGCTTTATGATTTGCAAATATTTTCTCCCATTCTTGGGTTGCCTTTTCACTTTTTTTGAAGTATACTTGGAATCACAAAATTTTTAAAAATTCTGATGAAGTTCTCTTTATTTCTTCTGTCATTTGTGCTTTTGGTATCATATATTAGAAACGATTAACTCAAGGACGTGAAGATTTACTCCTGTGTTCTCTCTCTTTTTTTAAATGAATGTGCATTAGGGCCACTTGAGAAACTGGGAGCATTTTATTCTATGGATTCTAAAGCTAAGTCTTTTTCAACCTATATCTCCAGGGCCTAGAATTCTACCTGTCACATAATAGATTTTTAAAAAATTATTCCCACTTCCTAGTCCCTTCCCTTTGGCAACTAAGCTTGTTCTCTTCGGCATCTATGGGTCTGTTTCTATTTATTCATTTATTTTGATTTTTAGATTCCACATATGTATAAGTGAAATAATACGATATTTGGCTTTCTCTGTCTGACTTACTTCATTTAGCATAATATCCTCTAGGTCCATCCATATTGTTGCAAACAGCAAATTTCATTCTTATTTATTGCTCAATAATATTCCACTGATGTTCATACACTGATGGACATCTAGGTTGCTTCCATATTTTGGCTATTACTAATAATGCTGCAATGAACATAGGGGCGCATATCTTTTTGAATTAGAATTTTTGTTTTCTTCAGGTAAATACTCAGCAGTGGAATTCTGGATCATATGAAAGTTCTATTTTTAATGTGTTTGAGGAATCTCCATGTTGGTTTCCATATGGCTGTACTAATTTACAACCCCACCAACACTGCATGAGGGTTCCCTTTAGAGTAAATCGTCACCAACACTTGTTTGTTGATTTATTGATGATAGCCATCTGACAGGTGTGAGGTGATAACTCATTGTGATTTTTATTTGCATTTCCCTGATGATTAGTGACATTGAGCATCTTTTCATATGTCTGTTTGCCATTTGTGTGTTATCTTGGGAGAAATATCAATTCAGGTCCTCTACCCATTTTGTTGTTGTGGTGGCGGGTTTTTTGTTTTTTTAAACTTCACCCGAGGATATTTTCCCATTGACTTTTAGGGAGAATAGAAGAGAGAGGGAAAGACAGAGAGAAACATCCATGTGAGAGAGACACATTGATTGGTTGCCTCCTGCATGTGCCTCAGCCAGGGCCTGGACTGGGGAGGAGCCTGAACCAAGGTATATGCCCTTGCCTGGAATTGAACCAAGGACCCTTTGGTCTGCAAGGACCCACACTCTATCCACTGAGCCACTCTATCCTCTGCCCATTTTTCAATTGGGTTGTTGTGTGTTTTTTTTGGGTTACATTGTATGAGTTCTTTATATATTTTGGATATTAACCCCTTCTTAGATGTAACATTTGCAAATATTTTCTCCTATTCAGTAGGTTGTCTTTTCGTTTTGTTGGTAGTTTCCTTTGCTGCACAAAAACTCTTTAGCTTGATATTAAAAGTCTCATTTAGCTGGAACCAAGCAAGTCTTTGGAGGAGACAATATGGCCAGATGTGTCTGAGCATCTACACAATCCTATATAAGATGCCTCATGGGGGGTGGAGAAAGGGAAAGTTTGTGGCTACTTTGGAGGCTAGTGCCATAGTCTTAGCAAGAGGAGATGCAGGCCAAGGGGATGTGAAAAAAGTAGAAATAAGAGCCTGAACATGGAAGGTTGGGAGGGAATAGGAGAGCTCAAGTCCTGAAGCTCATTTACTAGAAAGTCAGAAATAAAATATCCCAAACTCCAGGTTTGACATGTTTGGTATAGAAGGGAAAATCTCCATTTTAGAGCAAGTTGAATTGCTAACAAGCTACTGAATACCCCACAGGTACTGTGTCATGCTCCTGCCCTTAAAGTGGCCACGAAGGCTCCTGCTTCCCCCGTTACCTGATGGCTGGACGAGCTCATGATAGACAATGATGTCTTGGGCATCATTGAGGTTGTTTACTAGAGTGGCCAGCTCCGACCCAGTGAATTTATTGGCACCATAGACGGCTTCATTTTCCCCATCTATCCAGTAGACACGATCCTAAAACAGAACCCCCAAATTAGCACGTATGTGTAAGATTAATACAAATCGCTGTCTAACTAAGGCCATTATTATTTATTGGCAAATTAATGGACCAAGTTTATTTAAGGCTGGTTTGGGATACTGGAAGTAAAACTGTAAGAGAGCAAGTTCAGGTTTCTTAAAAGTGCTACAAAAATCAATATCGAACTTGCCCAGGTTTTAAGTGACAGCAGATTTTCAAGTCATGTCTTCTGCTCTCCCCTCCCATGCCCCCCACACCTATGCCTATTCCTTCTCCCGAAGGTGCTATGGTAACTCAAAGGCACACACTTGGACGTGAGGCAGGCATCTTACCTCAAATATCGTTAGTGCGAGAGGATGGGCCAGGAACTCCAGAGACTTGAGCACTATCCTCCGATCTTGGCCGTTCAAGTCCACACTGGATAACATGTGCAACTTGGAATCCAGCCAATAGAGACGGCTCTTTATGAGGTCTAGGCAGGAAAAGAATTTCGTTGCATGGTAAGTCATTATTGCTCTGGCTTCCATTTAAAATCTCTGAGGAATCCAATATTCAACTTTTATGATTCCTGCTCCAGTAGGGATTCTTAATGGGGTCCCACAAATCTTGTGAAATGGCATGCCATTTCGGGAAACTCAAGGGGTACCTAAGGTTCTCAAAGTAACTGACTTAAGAAATGTTACATGATAGAAGTTTTAAAAGAGGCTGGCATTTTGTTGTTCTCTCCTTATGAGCCAGAAAAAAACAAAACAAAACAAAACAAAAAACTGTTATAAGCTGGCAATTCAGGAAATGCTAAGGCATCTGGGCCAGGAGTATTTAGGGTGAGAGTTCCCAAGACTCACGATTCACAGAATTTGTGTCAGAGATTAGGCCCCAATGGACAGAAAAGCTAGTAATTAAAGCAGGTAATTTAAATTCCCTATGCCATTGGCATTGCTCAGTTATTTCCACCCAGTCACTGCTCTAGCACTATCTGCTGTAGTCCAGAATTAACGGAGATCAGTTAAAGCCGGGTGAAGGCTGTTGAATTGGTCACTGTAGGAAGGACATACGTACCAAGTGTAATTCCGTTAGGCCACTGGATATCCACTGCCACCAGCGGCCGTCTGTCAAATCCATTCATTCCTGCTTTTTCTATTTTAGCCGGCTCACCCCAGTCTGACCAATACACAAATCTGGGAACAATTAAATCAGAATTAAGCCTCAGTGGTTTTAGAACGAATGAAGTTGTAGCTTAGGACAAACGTTCAAAGAGTGAACAGAAAATTCTAGGGATTGATTATGACAAATAGTAACATTTCAGGCTATAAATCATGTTCTGCGTAAACAAAATTAACACTAAGAACCTACAAGTTCATTCACTATATTAATGCATTTAAGTCAGCCAAAGTCACAGATTATGCATTGTTTTTATTTTCAATTTTTTATTTTTTTTTTTGTTAATCCTCACCTGAGGAGGATATTTTTTTCCATTGATTTTCAGAGAGACTGGAAAGGAGGGGGAGAGAAGAGAAAACCATCGTTGTGAGAGAGACACATAAATTGGAATCGAACCCGGGACTCTATAGTCCTCAGGCCAATGCCCTCACCACTGAGCCAAACCGGAAGAACTATGCTCCATTTTTAAAAGGCTGATTCTTTCTGAGGAGTGAAGAAGAGTATCTGTTAAGTTTGATAGCAGGGGTAGCTGATCGTGTGCTGGTGAGGTTACACCGGGCCCATTTCTGATTACTGTTGGCCAGTGATTGGCAAACTCATTAGTCAACAGAGTCAAATACCAACAGTACAACGACTGAAATTTCTTTTGAGAGCCAAATTTTTAAAACTTAAACTGCTTCTGACGCCACCTCTTCAAAATAGACTTGCCCAGGCTGTGGTATTTTGTGGAAGAGCCACACTCAAGGGGCCAAAGAGCCGCATGTGGCTCGCAAGCCTGCCGACCACTGCTGTAGGCTTAGCTTCCTTAGCTGTTTTGTTATTTAGTGGCAATTTAGGAAACCTCTCTCTGAAATGTTTCTAGTGAGGTCAGTCAATTTCAACTGGACTTTCTGGACAAGCCTTGAGGTAATGTTACTAAAATCCTCACAACTCACGCTAAGACTTAGGTTTGATCATCCAGAGCTAACCTGACAGAGCATTCCGACAACAATAACAAGTCCCTGGTGTAGAAGGTGGGTGGGTATAAGGGTTCAAATCCACCCTCTGTTGCTCATCAAGTCAGAAATGCTGTTTCCCTAACTTCGACCAACAGTCAGACTGCCCTAGGAGGCAGGGCCTGCCATGACATGTTGAGCCAGACAATTCCTTCTCGAGGGCAGCTGGTAGGTCTTGATATTTCAGTTCTACTTCAGCCACGAGGAGGGCTCCTGGCCTGTGCAGACAGCACCCAAGAGGCTACAGGATGCAAAACACAGAATACCAACCCAGACAGGGGGTCCACGGCTATGGAGGCAGGCTCTCGCAAGTCCGAGTTAAACAGGAGCTTCCTCTTGGTTCCGTCCAGGGTAGCTACTGAAATAGTCTTAGAAGCCGCGTCAGTCCAGTAGAGGGTCTTGTACACCCAATCAACAGCAATGGCTGCAGGATTATAGACATTGTCGATCATTTTAACATGTCTACCAACCTTGTCATCAAGGGAGGCGCTGAAACAGAGTAGGCCACAAGAAATTTCAGAGGTTTGATGCCATCGGAGCCTTGAAAACAGACTTTCTGCTTACAAAAGGGTCCACAGCCTTGTTCAGAGAGAACTCTAGTAACACTGCTCACCGCTCCAATGATTGAGCCGGGCTGCTCACTGATACTGCGTTAACAGCAGGCTATCTAGATGCTGTATGTGTTCTATATGCCAGACCCACACGCTTCTAAGTGGAGCTATTTGTTTCAGTAGCTACCATCTGAGTTTCTCTAGTTCCCCCTTCAGGAAAAGATGCACTACCATTTCTATCTGTAGCAACCATAAACGGTTCTCAATTAACTATAACGGGGAGAAAATAGGAGAAATTAAGATGTCAGCTGTGATAATCTTTTAGCTGTAGACACTTTTTATTTCATAGGTGACTGTTCATTTGTAACGAGGAACTGATAGTCATGGAGAAGTTAAAGATTGGGTGTTTAGATTTACTGTTTTCAGCTAATTAAATGCCAGTTTGAGACAAGAGAAAGTCTTTCAAACCCTCCCAAAAGGCCAAGCAATTTAGACCAAATAAGACACCAAGAATGGAACTGAAAGTTACCTGAAGATGGCCTTTTGGCTCAGATCAGCCCAGAATAGCTTCTGGGCAGCAATGTCAGCATCGAGAGCCACCGTGTTCCTTAGCTGCTCCACTAGTTGGATATATTCTTTCCTCTCTAAGCCAATCTTCCTGATGTCTCTGCGGTTAGTGAAGATCAGACTTGGCTCTTTCCCTGCAAGACACGACGAGTCCAGTGTATTTAGTTTTGCTGCAAGAAGGTAGGGTCCTTCTAAGCTATTAATACCTCCTCCCAACAGAGCAGCACTTAAAAAGTGAAGCCACCGCCCCAGCCAGTGTGTTCAGTGGTGAGGACATCAGCCCATGCACCAAAGGGTCTCAGGTCTGATTCCTGGGCAAGGGCATGTACCTGGGTTACAGGTTCCATCCCCACCTCCTGGGAGGAGGCAACCAACTGATGTGTCTCTCACATTGATGTTTCTCTCACCCTCCCTCTCTCCTCCTTCTCCTCCTTCTCTCCCTTCTACTCTCTCTAAGAAATCAATGGAAAAAATATCCTTGGGCAAGGATGGGAAAAAAAAAAATAGTGAAGCCATTGCTGAACACCTCAGGCGTACTTGTGCCCGAGGCCATGCCTCAGAGACCTGCAAGTGCTTCCCACTACTTAAGGCAGTTCTGAGGTCTCAGCATTCAACAATAGGGCTGCTGGTGAATAAGTTATTCATTTGCATTGCACTCAAGTATTGGAAGCAGAAAGTAAGCAAAGCTGGCAGGTATTCATGGTGTCATGTGCATAGACCAACGCAGGAATCTGGGGAAATGGTCTGTTTTTAACCTAGGACAGAAAACGCGCCGTGATTTTAGTAGCATTGCTCTCAAGTACTATTTTAATTCCATCTTCAATTTGGCGATTGTCATCATAAGCTGTACCTTTCCTAAAAGATACCCTTACTCTTAAAGATACCAGAGCAACACCCGTCCCCGTCCATTTACCTACAGCCTTGCACACGCCAGTGGCAAGATCCATCTGATAGCCACGACTACATTCACACTTGTAACCGCCTTTTAAGTTGATACAAATTTGACTGCAGATTCCCGGATTTTGGCATTCGTCAATATCTAGGAGGGAAATTAGAATGAGTCTTGGTGTTTCTGGATAACCTACCCAGATACCCTGTCCTTTCCCACCGCCCCCAGGGCTTAGGCTCTCTTCTCTGACTCACCTCCACAGGTTTTCCTGTCTATCAGCTCAAACCCAGCTGCACAGTCACATTCATAGCCTATAACCAAGTCTCTGCAGATATGGGAGCATCCGCCATTGTTAACCAAACATTCATTTACATCTGAAATAAAAACGTCCTCGAATTACTTGACAACTTATTCCAAATTGACATTTGTCCTATGAACATTAAGAATCCAGGCTACCTGCAATAACTTATCTACTTAATCTGTCCAAACCTATGATTTTTCAGCTCATCACCTTGGATTTGATCAAGTTGCTTTCTGGTCAGTTATCTTTAAGGAGGTAAATTATGAACTAGCTTGTCACTGGATGGGCTCTTGAGTCATAACAATTCACTCTTACGTCCAACCATTGAACTGAGTCCATTAAAAGTAGTGCAGCCAGACATTATGCATTAGCCGTGCTAGATTGAACGAGCCATCCCAGCTCTGTCCCCAAGCAAAGGCTTCACTTACGACATTCTTTCAAGGGCTCGTCACTCCAGTCCCTGCAGTCCTGTTCCTGGTTACATACTTTAATGATGTCTATGCATTCCCCGCTTCTGCACTTGAACTTTCCGGGGCCCAAGCACTGATTGACTACAAAGAGAAACACAGAAGAGAGACTCCATGAGTGGGTCCGATCAGGGTAGTCCCTTGACAAACCCACACGAAGAGGCCCTTACCATTTTTGCAGTTGACTTCGTCAGAACCGTCGATACAGTCTCGGATGCCATTACACTGCCTGCTGCCATGGATGCAGCTCCCATCCTCACATTCAAACTGGTCTGGCCGGCAGGTTTGAGAAGCTACAAAGGGAGGAAACACCATGGGATGAAGCCAGCCAAGTTGTCCCCAGTGGATCCGTGGGAGGGAATCGAACATGCCACACGGATGAGAACGCTACGTACGACAGTTGACCTCATCGCTGCCATCCCTGCAGTCCGAGTCTCCGTCACACCGCCACTTCTTGTGGACGCACTCGCCAGAGCCACACTGGATCTCACTGGCTGGGCACCTGGTGTGAATCACGGGCTGGCGGCCACACTGCTCCAGGGACTCATCAGACTGGTCCGAGCAGTCGGCATCGTCGTCACACACCCAGCTGAGGGGGATGCAGGAGGAGGCGCTGCACTGGAACTCGTGGGCACCGCAGGACGGTGGGGCACAGTTGAGCTCGTCACTGCCATCGTTACAGTCATCCTGGCCGTTGCACACAAAGTTCCTGGAGATGCAGCGGCCGCTGGAACAAGTGAACTCATCAGCGCTGCACGTTACGTTGCCTGTTGAAAGAGAGGAGGCCCCACTGAAAGTGCATCGGACTGGACCTTTCAGGACTTTTGTCCGGAAATCTAACCTGCAGACCTTTGATCATGAATCCTAGCTTTCTAGCTTAACTTAAAAAGCTAAAGTGCAATTATATCAATATCCGAGTTCCTGGAATACCAGGAACAGTCTCACCACATAAAAGATGCAGGGACACTTGAATAAGAACAGAAATAAAGGACCAAGAAAAGAGTTGAAGACCAGAAATTAATTTGAGATGAGAGCCACAGTGGACTCTTACAGGAAGTGATCAATAACTTAAACAAGGAATTCCTTTCTGGAAGGCAGAGACTGAGTTATCTTTAAATGGACATAGTGCTTATCAGGCCAGACCACATCATAGCTGAGACGATCATGCATCAGGTATTCAGACAAATGTTAATAATAAGCATTATCACACAATCACCCGAAAGGAACCATTGTGTTATCCCATCATGCATGGCTCTTCTTTACATCCTTCAAATGAGGATCAGGACTAACAGGTCTTAAATACTTAAGAGTTTTAGAAAGTCAGTCCGAGGGCTAGCATGACAGTCTAGCAGCCAGGTATGCTAATAATAATAAGCTAGTCAGAGTCAAAGATAAGCCAGTTTGTACTTTGATTCAAATTCGGGCCAAATGGATTCAGTCACAGTTTGGTGGTAATAACGGTAGAGACCGCGGCTCTCTTGGGAAGCAAAGTCTAGATTTAAGAGGGAAACAGTTGGCAGCTCCAGGGCTGACCAACACATAAAGCTCAATTCCAGGGTTAAACACCAAAACTCATTGGACTAGGTGCAGTGGTATTGACCTCCAAAGGTAATTTCTACACAGAGGACGTGTTTCGGCTGCAAGCGTCCTCAGCTCACCGGCACACTACTGCATCAGAAGGCCTGTGCTCCTGGGCAGCTGTGGTGATAGAGGCCCTATAAAAAGGGCGGTAGCTTGAAAGAGGGTTCAAAACAATGTTTGTTCAACCTTGAGATTTTCCCAGGGCCTCACCTTTAAGGTGTAGCATTTATTACACACTTTCCAAGAACAGAAGCATGAAAGGGAAGGAAACAGAGTTGGCTTTTACAGGTAGAAACTGACAGAAGACAAAATTAGCACCAGTTGGGTAGTTTTTCTTCGGGTATCTGCTAATAACATAATGTTCATGAACACGGCTATGCCAGTTTAACTTCTGGAAGTGTCAACATAGAATCTGGTTTTGGAGCTAAGAAATGCTGGTATGATACCCAAGTAATTTACTTCAATATGGAGATCCAATTTAGACCTAGGAATGAGTTTGCTGGCCCTATTCCCCTTCTGGGATGGCGCCAACGTAAGGAAGGCCCATGCATTACTGTCCTCACAGAGACAAAAGCCCACACGCTTGGTGCACTACTGAGCTATTTCTACATGTAAGTGCCTTGAATGACTTACCTTTGTATTTCTATTTGTCTAGAAGAAACACCAAAGCAAGCCATGGCCATGACCATGTGAACTTCTTTCAGACTTTTTGGGGCAGTTAGGAAGGACAAGTAGCTGAGCAGATAGTAGAGTCACTGAAAAGCGAGTCAACGTAACTGCATCTTCATGCTTAAGTTAGCTTCCCCTGCCCACCCTTCTTTGAGCAAAAGGGTCTTTGGGATAAGCCACTCAACACTGATCTTCTTACCACAGTTTTCTTCATCTTCTCCACTGTCACAATCATTCTCACCATCGCATCGCCAGGACTCTGGGATACACTGAGTAGAGTGGGCGCCACAGCTGATTTCATTTGTGCGGCACGTTCTCATATCTGTTGATGATATACAGTCTCAAAAGAGCCTCCAGACTCATCAGGGCAAAGTCGCTGCTCCTGCGCAGAAGTGGTACACCTATACGACTCAGTGGCCTGGCCTGCTGGTGAAATTCGACATACTGGTTGCAGCCTCGGTAGATCCTTTGCCAGCGCCATTGCTTAGAAGCCATGCCAACCTATGCTACCTGGCAGTACACCCGAGAGCCTTGACCGTGTAACTCCTTCAAGGTTCCGTGGAGTGCCCAGTTCTGGGCTTTTGTTTTACTTGGCCTAGTTAGGTGTATTGGCTGGCCTGCTCCTGGACCATTGTTTATCTGTTGGCTATCAGGTGGTACACCCACATATCTAGTCCCAATTTTTTTTAGTGGCCAGATGGTCTAAGACTCATGAAGCCTTCCTTTTAGGTTCCTTTACAGGACTCCTTTACAACCTCCTTTAGATTTGCATTTTGCAAAGTAGTGACGTCCCATACGTTTTGACTTGACTGGGTCATTTTCTACGAAAATGTGGGGCTGAATCTTTATGGAACCCATCTTTACATGTAATAGCTTACACACCTTAACCAAGATTCTTATTACTCCCCATGCTTCCTGCCTAGAAAATTGATATCACACATTTATTTTCCTTTCTGCTTGATTTTCTTTGGTAACCATTTTCCCAACTGAAACTTTGTTCACTGGTCCTCCACATTTGGTGCTTCAATAGGTCTCTATTGCCTGAAAATGAACTAGACTTTCTTTATCTTGACATCCAAATAATTGCAAATCCTCCTCCTCTATCACCTCATAGGCTTTTTCCTGAATATCAGCCTAAGAACTCAGATATACATTTGCTTAACTATGAAATTTATCTTATTTAAGAACAAGCTATGTTCCCTACTTTAATAGTTTTAGATTTCATGTTTGTTCAAAATAATGATATCACCCTACTTCTAGCCACTCTGCCTCTTCAGTAACAGATTCTCCCCACTTCGCCTCCCCCCATCCCCCATAAAATGAGAAGCTGTATATCTAAAAGCTTATATTTGGCCTACAGGGGATCCTTACATCTTGACTTAGCTTCCAGGACCAGAGTACCATCTGCTCATATTCATCATTGTCAAACATTTGAAAACTGTGCACCTAGTCAAGGAGTTCTTAATGAAGTCTACTGGCTTCAGTCTTAAAAGTTCAATAGTGAAGCTACCCAAGAGAACGTCAGTCTTGTTAGACTAGGGAGAACATTCTTTAGAGGATACTGATCAACTGTTCATGACTTGACTGAGTTTGGAGTCAATTGGCCTACACTTCAAGGGAGTCGAAGGAAATTAACACGAAGTATTGGATTAAGCAATACTTAGATATATGAGACACAGATGGCTTAGAAAAGTTCAAGTCTAAAGCAAGGCACACTCACGGCACTGTTCTGGGCTGTCATCAGAGCCATCTTCACAGTCGGGATCCCCATCGCACTGCCATCGGCTGGGGACACACTGGCCATTGTTGCATACAAAGTCAGACTCGGCACACGTCTTCTTCTCTACAAAAGTTCATTTGCAGGGTTAAAGTTGAAGTCCCTTACCCAAGAGCCCTATAATCCCATGAGGGTAAAACTGCATTTTGATGTATTTTACTTGTAAAATAAAGCTGATTCAATTAGCACCCAACTGCCAATATCCAGGAGAACTATAGAAAAACTCTCTCCCTCCCTAGAGGACAAAGGTGCTCACTTAAGAAACTAGGAGGATACTAAAGTCAAGATAGGACAAAGGTTTCCAACTATCTTATAATCCAGGGATTCCTTACAGCTCTTGTCTATTTTATAATGTTGAGGTTAAGTAATAGTTTCATTCTCTTCATGCATTTCTTCCAACTCTTTCAAGTCCTTTGTAAATTGAATAGCCAAACAGTCCATCCCATGACTGGATCATAGTATAATTGCTCTAGGGGCATACCTGGACAACACATGGTGTAGAGATAGATGAAGCTCCAGTACTGAATGTTGTCACCCCTACAGGTCTATTGGGGAGAGGAACCCACCCAGTAAGAAATAAACAGAGCTGAAATCCAAATCCAGAAGAGGTGTTCAGAATCCAGCTTAAAGTGATTGAAGTTGCCAACACCCATAACTGATGGCCTGGGTTAAAATAACCTGCAAGGTATCCATTCTGCTATTAATTCTTACTAGGGTGGGCCTTTGCTCCTGTAATTAGGGTGTCCATGCAATTTATTGTCCAAATTGGAACAATCTCAGTAGAAAGGGGACACTGTTCATTGTACCAAGAAGATAAGCACAAACCAAGACTATCCTAAGTAAACCAAGCAGCTTGGTCACCCAACCCATGAGGAAGTCAGAGATTAGGAAGAATATTAAAAAGTAGCCACATGGGATATCCTTCTCAGACTATGTTCTTCCTTATCCAGGTGTCTATACCTTCCATCAGAATTTCTAGTTTAAAACATTCTTCTCTAACAAATATTTTGTAATAGTAAGTCAACTAAAAGCTGACAATTTGCTGAAAATTGGAAAGGGACCGCTTCAAGACAGGGGTTTAAACTAGGTACAAAACTTAGAATATCCTAAATGAGAGGGCCATTCTGGTTTAGCTTCTGATATTTTAAAGGGGGGAGACAGTGATTAGAGTCAATTTCTAGAACTCATGGTGAGGAATTATGATGATTCGAAAAGGGTTATTCATCTCCTTGAATTGTGTAGCCAAGGAAACAAGAAAAGGCCACATTAGCTCTTAGATTCACACCTATTTCTAAAATCATTGAACATACCAAAACCCCAGTGTTAATGTTTAAGTGATATCCTAGGCCCATGTTCTCCTGAGCATGTAGAGGGGGTAGGGTTGGGTGGGTGGGAGTATACAAAGCCAGTTGTTGTAATCCAACCTGTGATATTCTTTAGAAGTTGTAAAAGAAGGAGTAGGGGATGGCTGGTTGTAAAGAAACCACCTGTCTTTAAGAAGCAGAAAATATCACAGGATTAGGAAAGACTGGCTGTACTACACAGTGCTGAGAAGAAGATAAATAGTGACAGACAGATTGCTAGAGTTAATCTCTCTCCATTCTGAGCATAGACTGGGAGGGTAATAAGGCTACCTGAACTGAGCCTTGAGCTGGATAGAAAGTTTGATGTGCCACAGGGAAAGAGAGCTACTAGTTCCATCCTTAGGGTACTGAAGTCACTGATTAATCAGCTCAGCCTAACACACAAGAATAAGTTACTGGGACCAACAGGAACATATGGCTTGTGGAATTCAAGCTGAAGTTGACTAAATACGCTAGTTGATATATTTGAAAGAAAGAGCACCACTGAAACCGTATCCAAGTTCAATATCAAGAGATTGGACCAGAAAAATAGAAAGTGACTTATAGGTTTCCAGTAATTGTGTAGCTTTCCCCTTTGGAACATCTCAGAAGAAGCATATCCAGAGATCACCTGAGCAATGCTCCCACTTTCCTTTTCTACTTTCATAACTGGGAGGTGGAAACAAATTCTGATGAAGAAATATTTAATTTTTCCCATCTAATGTGATCTTGATACACATCTTTCTCTTTACCTCTTCCAAACCCTTCTGCCATGTGGTTGGACATTATTTATGCAAAGACTGTTTTAGGAAAAGCCAGCGGTGACCCTAAGGTGATCCAGGCTCATTTCTACTAGGAATTGACTCTAATCATTGCTTCCCCCTTTACAACATCAGAGGCTGAACCATAGTGGCCCTCTCCTTAGGTCACTCGAAACTCTGAGAGTGGGACCAAGTTTAACCCCTCACTTGAAGCGGTCCCTTCAAATCTTCAGCAAATTGTCAGCTTTTAGTTGACTTCCCCTTACAGAATTAGTCAGATGATAAAAGAAGACTTCTCACCCATGAAGAGAATGATTATTTTCCAAGAAAAAACAGTGGGTTTTGCCAAAATATCTAAGTTTAGACTGGAAGAAGAATTACTACTTTACACCAAGAGAACAGCTGACCGGAGTGAGTTCCTATGAGTGGGATAGTTACAGAAGGAATTATAGTACCTAAGTAAACCTAAAAATAGCATGGGACTGAGTGTCTTATAAAGTAGATGAAAATCTTGGTGCTAGAATGCAAATGATGGAGAAGTGTTGCACAGTACTATTTTTCGTCTTGGAGGGTAGTTTCTTCCCTGAGACTATAGAATGGATTTCCTGTGCTTCCACATAAACTACTAATCCATAGATTGGCATGAAAATACCCATGGTATTGCTGAGAGCTCAAGCACAGGACAGCCGGCTATAGTGTTTACACTATAACATGTTAGTAATGATGTATGAAGAAGCTGGTAATGGTATAACAAAATAGCAGTTGATGAAATTTACATTAAGCTAGTTTTCTTATGTATTTCTAGTTTGTATAGTAAAAATCTCTATATAACATCTTTTAAAAGGCAGATGATGATGCCATCACCGGCATTCACACACTACGTTATTTCAGGATTTTTACAGCCTAGAACAAAGGGGTCAGGTACCTACATGAGAACATGTAGTTCTCAGCTGTTATGGCTTGACATGAGGTTATACAGATTGCATCAACAAGCATTCCTCACAATGATCTTTTCATAGATGCTGATCAAAGGGCACGATGGTACATCCCCATTGTCTTGGGAGAGATGTCTTCCACCCTGTCTCATGCTTTAGAATTAGCATCTATTGTAGACAGAAAATGAAAGAATAATTCTTATCTAATCTTCGATCTGAGCTGGCTTGTAGTTTCTGTGCCAGGAGTTAATTGACCCCATGAAACTTTACGGGATCTTTTTACTATCTGTGACTTCCTTTTTTAGGGGTGTGTGTGTGTGTGTGTGTGTGTGTAGGAAATCAAAGCTATTTGAAAACTGAACAAAGAAAGTCTGTTCTAAGGAGTCTTCTGTCTATCTTCATTGCTGGCCCTCCCCTCCCTTCTCCTAGTTTCCTACACCAAATGTTTGCCTGGTCTCAGATAAACCAGGTCCTGTCGTTTGAAAGGGACTCAAGTTTATCTTCAACATTCTGTACCCAGGTTGATAACCTCATGTCAAACATTCAATTATGTTCCTCTAGACCAGGGAGGACAGAATCTTTGGACTCTGGTTCAAAGGAAGTCTTAGGAATGGGTTCTATTTTCAGAATCTCGATACATTCATAGAAACTAAGATAACATCACCACTCTTCAATTAAATGCATAACTCCCAGTGAGGTGGCAAGTGAGACTGTCAAACTCTTGACTCACCACAGTTCTTTTCGTCACTGCCATCAGCACAGTCCTCATCCCCATCGCATTTCCACAACAGTGTGATGCAGCGGCCATTTGTGCACTGGAATTGGTTAGTTTCACATTTGGCTTTTCTTCCTAAAATCAGAAGGGAACACTTAGCTAAGCCTGGGACATAGGGGTTATAAGATAGAGATTCCAGTTACCCAAAACCAATGGACAGGGGTCCTGTGAGAAGGACAGCTGCAGACTTGGCAGGCTAACACATTCTAAGAGGAAGACTTGGATGGGTCTTGGGCAGTGACGGATAGTAACTGAGTTCTTAGCTGGGCACACACCTTTTAGATGAGACTAGATTTCCCAGCCTCCCTCGCAATGAGGAATCACCATGAGAATCAATTCTGGTTAATGCACTATAAGCAGGATGGGCATATACAACTTCTAGGAAAAATCCTCTATTTTCCTTCCCTTCATTCCTTTCTGGTTCCTGAAATTTGGGCCTCGTGGCTGGAATTGTGGTCTTGGGTCAATGCAGCAGGATCAAGATAGAAGGGATCTAGATTGCCCAAAGAACATGGGGCATTTCCATGTGCTCAGGACTACTCCTCTCATTTGTTTAAAAGTCACTTGTGTGGCTGTAACCACACAGCCAAATCCTAATCCTTCAATGGCATTTCTGGTCCACATGTCATATTGTTTTTCATGAACGATGCTCCTATTACAAGCAAAGTGAAGGAGATTTAGAAGGAGCAGCAGGGAAAGGGGAGACATAGAGTTTAATACTATGATTCCTCATCTTAGACCTTGAGATCTGATTGCAAAAAACACATGTTTACACACTAACTCCAAGATAAGATACAAAGTATCACGAAGGTATAGTTAAGAGACAAATGAAAATCCTTTTTTTTTTTTTTTAAATTTAGGGATAGGAGAAAAGCAAGTAAGGTAAGGTAGAGCCACAGACTTGGGTTCCATATCTCCAAACCTCAGTTTTCTTATGTTCAATGTGTAAACATTTAACTCACACAATGATATGAACTAATTCTTGTAAATAAGTAGGGCACTTAGGTGTTGTTTTTTCGCCTAGCACAGACAGCTAACATCCAGATGTTTCCCATCATTAGCAGGTCTGTCCTTCTGGAGGATATGATGTCTTTGAGATAACAGGCAAAGATCCGGTTGCTTAATGCAAATATCCTGCAAATATTCGAGATACCCAGTAGAGCCATGTATAGTTCATGCAGGTTACTTAGGGAGGGCTTCCGATTTCCTGCCACCTTTCAGCATCTGCAGCTGTGACATGCTGGCGTCAGAACAGATGCCACAGTGACAAGCACAGACTGGAACTCTTGTGTTATACACACAATACACTAGTTAGCCTCCTACTGTCAGCTACTCCCCACTGTTTGGGAGGATTCTATGCTTTGCAGGGAGATTAGAATTTGGTCCAAATCAAGTTCAACATACAGATGTGGTTATTTTCTTAGGTACTAAACGTATTTGTTTAAAACCTGCTCCCACGAGTCTAGTTAAGCTAAGGCTGAGGTAAAAAGCAGTGTGATTCTATTGCATTTCCTACATACATTTCAGACTATTCATTCGCCCCACAAATATGTTGTTGAGTATAAGATACCAGGGATTTAGAAGAGAAAACAGGGGAGAGTAGAGGTTGTTGTCAGGAAGCGTCGCCTGCTAGTTTGTATAGAAATACCTGTCTGCCTCCCAGCTCTCCCCCATCATCCGTCTAGTCTCAGTGTATTCTCAAAGTGCTCAGGGCTGGGATACCTGCTCCAGGGGCCACTGGCTATAGTTCTATATCCCCACTATGTTTGAGGGCTGTGGGAGGAATAAGAATCTACACTGAGTATTGCATTTAAAAAGTAGGAAAAAAAACACAATTGATAGAGTACATAGATATAAAGGTACTTGGAAAGAACAGCTGGGTTATAGTTAGGATACTGTATAGACTGAAAGGCTCTGAACTTTTTAAAGGTTTTAATCACCCAAGATCAAAATGAGACAAAAACACTGATATTGATATCTACATTGTCAAAAAGGTAATCCTGTGGTCAGACTTGGACATTGACTTAAAAGTAGGTATCACATGATGGTGTTCCATGTCAGGGTGAGATACCTGGAAATATCCTTACAAATGAGGCACCTGGAAGCTACATATTTTATAGACACTCAAACTGTCTTGGGATTAAATACAGACACAGAACACCCTAAGCCTGATGTTTAGTACAATGTTCCCTTTGAGAGGGACTCTGAAGGTAGCTGTTAACATACAAACTGTCCACACTAACAGGAGACATAAACCATTCCAGCCAGGCTGCTTCCCGCGTTGATACTGAGCAGGCTCAGGGCAGACACGAACGTTTTCTTAGTGTTTATTCCAACAGCCCAAGATGAAAAGGAGTGTAGTTTCTACCTTTGCTTATCTGAGCTGTTTCCACTTCCCCCAGGCTTCTGCCTGGCTGCCATAAAGCTGTTTTCCCCAAGACACACACACAGCCCTCCATTAAGAAGCTCCTAACACATGGGGTTAGGAACACAGCTTGCTCCTAAATGTCCCCACTTGTTTACAGAATGAGTGAGATGGGCTGGGTGAGGCTGTCAGGCTTTGTAAAGGACCCTTTAGAGAGCGAGGCAGACAAAGGCCTTCAGCTTCATGGCCACGTCTCTCTGTTTCCCAAGTGCTTTGTTTCCGGAGATGGTTCCTGGGCAGAAGGTGCTCGCCGGTTCTGTTCACTCCCTGCCTCGTGCAGAGCGGCAGTGCTCAGACACGAACTCCAGTGCTAAGGCCACAGCCACCTGACTCCAACACCGTGCGGGCTTTCCGTCTGAGCATCAGAAGGATTCTACCTTCTGCCTCCTGGTTCCCCTGGGGATGATGCTGCCCACAGGAGAGCCGAAAGCACCTGGTGAGTTAAGATGCTTTTGGTTTGCGAAGCTTTGGGGATGACAGGCTTGTGGACCTTAGCCTGTTTCCATCCAGGACAGTCAACTCTCAAGTTCAGCATTAGACTCTCCTAAAGGGAACAGGATGAACTTGAAATCACGCACACCCGAGGTTCTTTTAATTCATAGGCTCTGCTAGAGCCAACGATGCCTGAAGAAAACACCTGTGAAGCAGAGGAGCTAGGCACGCAACAGGGCGGGGCAGAAGTAGGTTTGAAGCAGGGTGGCTTTCTTTTGTCTTGGAGTTACATGGAAGAATGTGAAAAGGGCTCTGTGGCTTTAAGAATTCCAACTGTTGGGCCGACATTTTGAATATCCCTACCCCTTTGGATCAGGGGGTGGCACGTCACAGGCACCCAGTCACACACATGGCTATTTAAACTTGTACTGAATGAAGTGTCGAAGGATTACTCACTCACGCTGTCACTTACACAGATGGAATCAGACCATGCAAACTTACTCCATGTCCCAGGAGCCTTGTGTATCTAAACAGTTAACTACCCAGACATGTTGGCAGCTCATTGGCCCCAAGAAACTCAGGGTTTTAATGCAAATAGAAGCCTGCCTGCCATTGTCTAATTGTCCCTGCATGGGTTACATGAAAGAGCAATATTAAGCTTCAGTAAAAAACGGCAGAGACCTTATAATAAACACCACGCCGCATGGCTACAAATGTGTCTGGAGGATGATAGTGACACCTTGGCAGGAGTGCCCATAGCAATGCCTGGAACATGGAGATGTTTCTGGGTATCAGGCTCAGGCTGAACTTCAACTACTCAGAGAGGCTCACCTGGCCCACTGCTGGGACTAGCGGGGCCAAGTTTCAAATTGCTCACACCCCCTCCTCTCAGCTTGAGCATGTGGGTGTTATCATCAACTGGAATTTCTTCAGTCCATTTGTTTTGGCACTTCTGAGGCTGCCAAGGGCATTTATTTTTAGTAGGACTCACTTCTGCTTGGCACTTGAATGCCAATCTTTCTATTCATAGGCAAAAGCTTGTTTTCAGACAAGCAGATATCCTAGTCAGCAACGCTTCCCACAGGGGAGGTTAGTAAGAGGAACTCAACGAAAGGCCCCCTGAGATATCAAGCACCAAGTTCATGTTCTGGCCTTCAAGGCAGCCTTTGAAATACAGGTGGGGGCCAACTAAAAACTGTTAACTACTGAGGTTAATCCTTCGGATTCACTGCAAAGAGTGAATCTTACAATTCAATTGTCAAACAGTTTTTCCCATTTACATCAGATTGAAACGATATTAAGAATCATGGACAAATAACTCATTTATTTCTCAATGCTACATGGTTAGAGCTACTGTTCCCTTTGTATACATATATCAGGAAACCTGTTCACTCTGGGAAGAACTAGAATTTGAACCTGGGCATTCTGGCTCCAAATACTTGTTATTGAGCATGTCTGCAACCAAGAGCACCCCACTCAGGACTGTTTCTTTCTAGAGTGTCCTGCTGATTTATAAATTGGCCAGTCCAGTCAAGTTAATCCAGAATCCGGTAGTTTTTTATTTGTCACAAACGACACTATCCCACATAGCTTTATTGTGGAGATAGAGCCCTATCTCTTGTTCCCATTTTAACTTTTAAAAAATGCTGCTAAAGTATCCTCAGTGGGTCCTTTCCTAGGAGGACGACAGTGCTTGAGGACATATGGAGGACATATTGGTCAAGTAGCGCAAAGGCCCTATGATACTCTTTGGAAGTGATTGGTTTTTGGAGGGTGGTTTTCAAGCTCTCTTTGCATCAGAATCCCCTGGAGGGCTTATAAGACACAATGCTGAGCCCCACCCCCTAGAAATTCTAATCCAGTGGGTACAGAGTGGGGCCCACATTTACATTTGTAATGTGTTCCCAGATGTTGCTGACACTGCTGGTCCCTGGCCACACATTGAAACCACTGCAGGAAATTAGAAGGTTCAGATTCTACCTACCATGGAAGTGACTGTTTCATTTCAGGGTTGGGTTATATAGTGCTCATCCCCTAAGCCCTCCTGCCCATCACCGGATGGATGTTGGTGAGAAATGCCAGTCTTACAACACATTGGGTGACAGCCTGACAAAAAGCCTTTGTGCCCATTAGGTAGGGAAAATTTATCCAGATGCCTTAGTCAGCATGCACGGTAAAATCTGGTTCTAAAATCTGCCTTCCTCTCTCCTGTGCCCCA